AAATGTCAAATCTGCAAATAAAGATGGATGAAAATCATTTGGATAAAAAAGAAGATTCTTTATTTGTAAAGAAGTTATGCCTATATAGGCGTTTTCATTTGAGTACAAATAGGTAACAGGTATCATTTCTACTAACCTGAATAATTGCTACAGAGTCCTCTGACATGCAGATGCTGCCTACGGGAGCATATCCTACAGTATCTCCTTCGAAGTCAATGGCCCTATAAGACAGAAGGGGAGATCAATGAGAAAGGGACTCTTCATTATCAGAATGAGGAGGGAAAAAACCCATAAAAATAATATTATGAGAAACTGTATGATAAGGAGAACATTCTGGAAAATAATATACAACAGTATTTGGAAAAATCCGTACTCCCTAAAGTACTGGTCACGGTTAAATATATGTTGAATGAATGAATGAATAACCATGAAGAAATGGACAGAAGAATAATTAAGAGACAACAGAATAACAAAACATCAGGGCTTGATGGGCTACTGGCAAAATTTTACAAAAAACTAGAAGAGACATTAAGCACAGTGATGTTGGAAGTATATAATGAAGTACTGCTAGAAGCAGAAATTCCAAACTCATGGATGGAAGAAAACAGCATTCTCATACTAAAAGATGATTCAGATTTAATGCAGATAAAAAATTACAGGCCAATATCTTTACTGAATGTGGACTATAAAATATATGCTTAGACAATAGCAGAGAGATTTAAAAAGTATTTGAATGAATTTATACATTTAGGCCAGAATGGATTTCTGCCAAAGGGACAGATTAAAAACAATATGAGAGTGATTTTAAACACATTGGAATATTATGAAATGCATCCTAGAAAATAAATGGGGTTAATGTTTCTAGATGCCCAGAAAGCATTTGACAACATTAATTGGCAATTTATGTTACTACAACTGGACTTTGGAGAGAGATTTATTAATATGATTAAAGCAATATATAATAAATAATCAACTAAGGTGATGATAAATGGGGTCATGAGAGAGAACTTTGATATTAAAAAAAGGCACTAGACAGGGATATCCACTGTTGCCGCTGCTATTTATACCCCTTTGGGGTATACCCCTATTTATTCCCTTTGGAAATGTTAACCAGGAATATTCAACAAAATAAAGAAATAAAAGGAATGGAAATTTAAAAAGAGAAATACAAGCCCCAGGCATTTGCAGATGACGTGGTTTTCATATTAGAAGACCCCTTAGAAACTGCCAACCTAGCAGTTCAAAAGCACATAAACATAAGTACATAAATAGTTACCATTTTGGTGGGGGAGAGGTAACAGCATTCCATGTGCTTTTGGCATTTTGACATTGACAAAGTTGGCTCTTCAGCTATGAAAAAGATTTTGTGTGTGTGTGTGTGTGTGTTGCTAACAATTAAAAATAGATTGGATATTTTATTATTTTCCTTTATTCTTGGTTTATCTCGGGCAAACCGAGAGCTCCGCCTGATGCCCGAAGGGCTTTGCAGGAAGAAACGTGGCTTGAGGCGCAATGACGGTCCTGGCTGTGATGTGCACGCCCGGTAAAAGCCTCTCTTGGTTCCCCCTCTTCCTTCTCCTCCTTCCACAGCCTGTGCGATGTTGCTGCCGTAGGCCAAGAGCTGCTGCCGAAGCTGCTGCACAGCTGAGAGAGGGAGAGCGCGAAAGCAGAGGCAGGGCGCCAAGCTTTGGTTAAGGCAGGCAAGGGAAACTGCAAGCCGAAAAGAAATCTTGCTGGGAAGGCGCGGCAGCAGGGCTTTAAAGGGCTCCCCCCTCCCCAGCCAGCCAGCCCACCCAGCCCATTCCTCCCCTGTCACCACTGTGTCCAACAG